GAGGAGGGATTCCATAGGACCCTGATAGAAAAGGAAGGATGGTTTCTATAGGACCGTGATGGAGGGAGGAAAGAGGGTTTTCATAGGACCCTGATGGAGGGAGGAGGGAATCCATAGGACCCTGGATGGAGGAAGGCGGAGGGATTCTATAGGATTCTGTTGGAGGAAGGGAGGAAGGATTCCATAGGACCGTGGATCGAGGAGGGAGGAAGGATTCCATAGGATCCTTATAAAGGGAGGGAGGAGGTATTCCATAGGATCCTGATGGAGGGAGGTAGGAGGGATTCCATAGGACCTTGATGGAGGAGGGAAGACAGATTCCATAGAACCCTGATGGAGGGAGGAAGGAAGGATTCCATAGGACCCTGATGTAGGGAGGAGGGATTTCATAGGACCCTGATGGAGGAGGGAGGGAGGAGGGATTCCATATGATCCTGATGGAGGGAGGGAGGAGGAATTTCATAGGACCCTGATGGTGGGAGGACGGACACCAGAGTATCCTGATGGAAGATGGAGGAGGGTTTCTCTAGGACACTGATGGAGGGAGGGAGGAGCGATTCCATAGATGCTGATGGAGAGAGGAGGGATTCCATAGGACCCTGATGGAGTGAGTAGGGATTCCATAGGACCCTGATTGAGGAGGAGGTGTTCCATGAGACACTGGAATGAGGAGGAGGTATTCCATGGCACCTGGGAAAACAAAATTAACCTACCCCTTATAAAGAATGTATATGAGGGTGCAGTCAGGTGGATTGTCTTCGGCCCTTTGAATGTGGATGAATGTTCATGCTAAACATATAAAACATATCCTTAAAATCACAGCTGTGCTTACCACTCGAAAAAGGGTGAATAGAATGGGATTGGGCAGGGATTAAAAGAAAGGATTCTTGTATTTAACCTACAGTTTTTGGTTTACTAAAATATGCAAATAGTAACATTTGTTAACATCTGGGTGGCAAGATGGAGACCCCTTACTCTAAGGACAGAGTAAATGAAATTGCAACACTGCGGATGGTCCTTGGTCAATTGTGAGAGTAAATAGCTGCTCTGTGAATAGCAGATCTGCTTTAACTTGCTCAGCTCTAACCGTCCCGTTCCCTACTTACATAGGACAGTAAAGATCTTTGGCATCTGAGCCTTTTAATCTCCCTAACTACACTCAGAGACAGTGAATGAATGTAAGACAATTACAGAACTGCAGAGAAGGGAAACAATAGGACACATTTCCCTGAAGGAAAAAAAACTAGCGTTCCAATGTGAGAAATAATGTGTTTGTTTTGGCATCAGAAAGGGTTCCTATCCTACCTGTAAGCTCTATGCCATGTATCCCCAAAGGAGAAAGAAACTGAATAATTGACACACTCCACTCTCCCATTTTGAGCAAAACCCTAGTAGTGAAATGGACATCACAATTTTAGATCTGATCCATGCTACTTACTGAGGTGAATGAAGTAAGTCCTTTATTCATAAATATAAATGAAAAAGGTTTGCCAGATGTATGAGGAAGGTAAAATAGAAGATCACAATAAACACACAAAACTATGTCATTTTGGGGGAAAACTCAGATAAAAAATGGAAATAAAAGATAATTTTACCAAAAATTCAAATTCCTGTTCTAAGAATTTAAAGAAAAGAAAATAGATTTATAACATTAAAATAAAATGTCTACTATTAGAGGACAGATCAAGCACTTGCAAGATTGAAATATTTGCAACAGCATGGATTGACCTAAAGAGTTTTATGCTAAATGAAATAAGCCAGTCAGAGAAAGGTAAAGTGTCACATGATCTCACTCATATGTGGAAACTAATGAAAAAAATAAATCCATGAACAAATTAGTTCCAGAAACGATGTCTGTTTTATTTTTTAAAAAAATGAAAACTAAAAGGGGAAGTTAGTGGAATAATATGATGTTGAAAAATGTTGCTACATTACAAGGTATCAGAATTATCTTAAATGTGCTTATTATAAGTGATCAAATTTATGGTAAAAACTTCCTGTAAGACACAATCTTCACATGCTGTCTATTTAAGAAGCAAAAATACGGACAATTGAGAAAGGTAAGTACTCTACATCAGTAATCATTCTTCAGGAATATTTGCTTTGGGAGATGGTAAACAACTACAGCAGGCCCTTTTTCAATAGCCATATTTCCTAATGTTAACTGCCAGAGCCAGAGTAGGATGAATACTTGGAAAATGCTGATTTTCATACAGTAACCTCTTGTATTTAAGAGTGAAGAGAGCTCTAGAAACATTATTTGGAAGTGCCCCAGCTCCATGGACAGCTGGCGGTGGGTATTTGTGAAGGAGGGACTGGACGACTTCAGAACGGGCTGTCCATCTCCTGAAGATGTGATCACTCCTGGCCCTCGGGAGGGATTTCTCCCCATGATTGCTCATAGAATTCCCTGCCCTCCACCCAAAAAGATTCACAGGCAGCCGCCCAAGGGAGCGGACCTGTGTTCCAAGCTCTCGCCAGCACAGCGAGCAAGGAAGGCCTTTGTAGAGAACATTGAAGCCAGCCTGACCTAGCATCCCTTGGCGAACCGCCCGAATCTGGAGGAAGCTCTCCCTCCAGACCTCCTGCTCAAGGTCCTGAAAGTGCTAGATCCTGACAGGGAGCTGGAGGACACGTGGGCGTATTGTGAGGGCACCAAGGAAAGAAAGAAGACCCCCACACACCTGTGTGAAGAACATCCTGAGGAGGTCAACCTGGAACCTCCCCAGGCAGTGAACCTGAAATCTGCCTGGAAGCTCAACCTGGAACCTCCCGAGGAGGACAACCTGGAGCCTGAACACCAAGCCCAGGTGGAAACAGCCAAGGAGAGTCTCCAGTCATATTTATTCAGTTTGTTTCCTGAGGAAGAGACAAATGCAGCATGCACAATGGATATCCCCAAAGATCCTGTGCTCCAAAAAGCAAGAAGAACAGTTCGTGAATTCTGCAGATGGATCGATGATAATTTTGGAGACATAGGCATTGATGAAGAGGAAATCATGAAGAAGTTTGAAATTGACTTAGAGGTCCCACTCACCCATAATACAGTCAAAATAAAGAAAATAAGCCAGCTTCCTTTGAATATAAGGCCTTGCAAACAGCTAGATGAAATACAGCAGAGAAAATTCTCCCTGCAGGAAGGTAACTGGGAAAGGAAACTCCAAAAACCAGAAGACCCTTATAAACCCAAATGGGAGAAGATAAGGTATGGAGCATGGTACCTGGACCCCAAATCCTGGAAAAAGCTGGTCAATGACCAGCTTTTGCCCGACCCTAAAGCCGTCCTGACAAGGAATATTGGACCTATGGATGGCATCTTGAACCAGGCATTATTGATGAACTTTATGGACCAATTGCCTTCAAAGATTTCATTGTTAGCAAGGGCTACAGGATGCCAGGTGTGATTGAGAAGATGTTTATGAGGAAGGGATGGAACTATGAGTCTGTCAAGACTCCTATACACCAAGTAATGAAACGCATCTCCAAACCCAAAGAGGAGGATTCAGGGGACGAAGAGGATTAGACAATTTTCTCTTTACTACTCACTTGGCTAGTGTGTCTCTCTTATTTTAACATGAGTCAGAATTCACCATGAGTGCCTCACTGTGTATGGACAATTTGATTCCACAACCTCTGTACATTTAACACCTAGTGCTAATAAAAATTTGTAAATAACCTTCTGCTTAGGTTCATCAATGTGTTATGTATTTTACCAACTATGAAGTCAATATTTACATATACTCCTCTTGGTTTTTATTGAATTAGGAGTATTATATTTTTATTTCAATTATTTATTAAAAGTTACTATAAATGAAAGAATTACTTAAAAAGGAACTTGTTGCCCAGCCAATGTGGCTCAGTGGTTGAGTATTGACCTGTGAACCAGGAGGTCATGGTTTGATTCCAGGTCAGGGCATATGCCTGGGGTGCAGGCTCGATACTAACTGCGGGTGCATGCAGGATGCAGCTGATTAATGATTCTCTCTCAACATTGATGCTTCTCTCTCTTCCTCTCCCTCTCTGAAAATCAGTAAAATTCCTATATAATAAAATTCCAGAGACCAAAATGTCAGAACAACCAGAACAACCAGAGACCGCTACTACTGCCGCCCCTTACCCTGGCCAAACCTGCCCTCAGAGGGGATCCCACCGTGGTTGAGGGTGTGGCCAGCCTGAAAACCACCCGTGGCCCCCTCACCCCAGCCAGCCCCTCCTCCCAGTGGGGATGCCGCACCCCAATCGGGGCCCCCATCAGGGCAGGTTGGCAAGCCCACCTGTGTACCGGGCCTCTATCCTTTATAATAAAAGGGTAATATGCAAATTGACCCTAATGGTGGAACAGCCAAAATGATTGCTCAGCCATTCACTATGAGGTGCACTGACCACCTCTCAGTTCCTTTCCCCGGCCTGCAGGCTCCAATCTCCCAATGGCAAAAGGGGAACTGGGGGTTATTGGCGGGTGATGCAGGTAGAGCCAGGCCAAGGCCCCCACCCCACCAGTTGACTCACACACAGAGGCCAACCACGGCGGGGGCAGAGCTGGCGAGCAGGCAGAATGGCTGACCTCTCAGTTCTTCCCCCTGGCCGTCAGGATCTGATCACCCAATGGCAAATGGGGAAGTGGGGGTCAGTGGCGGCGTGGGATGGGGCTGGCTCAGGGCAGTTGAGGAAGATGGCCCTGATCACAGGCCAGGCCTAGGGACTGTACCTGCGAACGAATTTCTTGCACCAGGCCTCTAGTATATTTATAAAAAATTATGCCAGCTACTGCATGGGATGAATCTCAAAATAATTGTGCAGAATGAAAGAACTTTATTGCTCCAATAATATTCAATTTATAATGCACTATGACAATTATTTTGATAAACACAACTTGTAACCCGTAGGAAAAGTAACTTTATGTATTCTTTGTGAATTGTTGATGGCTACCTTTTCACTAAAACATTAGAATTTATCTCAGAGATTATATGGCCTGCAAGCCTAAAATATTCCCTATCTGAATTTTTACAGTAAAATTTACTGTCCCCCAAATCTAGAAGAAAAATATATTCAGACATATATTAAATCAATGATGCCACTCTTTAGCTGAACAGAAGATAATACATGCTCATCTGTGGAATAGAATCAAGTGAAATATTTTTAAAAAAATAACAATTTAGTCAGAACTTTTTGAACCCTTTTCAAATCTGCCTATTAATTTCAATATTCTTAGGGTCAGAAATTCCTGAGGCACATCATCATATCTTATAGTCCCTGCTTCTTGTCATGTCTCGTCACATGATGACTTGTCATACAGAGATTCCCCATGACTCCAAAAATGTGGGTGTTAAATGTGAGGTAGGGCAACCTGAACGTGATAAAGACAGACTAACTTTCTTCCCACTAAAATGGCTAATTAATTCAATGGGATGTTCACAAAGGTGGGTTGGCCAAGAAACATGCTTTGGATGTCATATACTTATTCCACTCCCACACTCACCCCCCATTGGACCAAATGAAGTTTATTTAGGGTATAGTGCTCAGGAGTGGACACTAAACCTCCATGGAGACTTTCCCAGACTACACAGGGCACAAGACTGAATGTTTCCCTTGGTGCCTGGGGCTGCTGCTTGCTCTCTACAGCCCAGGACACCAGCAGGGCACTGCTCCTTGCAGGCCTCTGAGCCAATCAAGTGTCAGGACAAAGCTTTCTACAAAGGACACCCATTCCCCTCAGCTGCCACAGGGAGGGGCACAGTGCCTGTGCTCAGGGCCAGTCCCTGGAAGCAGCATGGGGAGGCTCAGGGAAGGGGAGAGGTTCCAGGAGAACACATGAGGTCTGGATTTCCGGAAGTGAGCTGGAAAGTTTCTCCCACAGACTCAACTTAATAAAAGGGGCCACCTGGGGCCAATACTCTGTGTGAAAAGCAGCTTTCAAGCTGGGAGATCTCTCAGTCAAAAGCACAGCTAGCATTTCTGTTTGATTTTGGGGGGATGAGCTGAAATAGGCCATTGCTCATTAAACTTCCTGAAATGTACACCTAGACTACAGGCTATCTAACCATCAGACTTTAAGGGTCTATGTGGAAAGGTGGGATGTTTTCCAATGGAAGTCCTCCTAGGGGCAGAGCAGGCAGCTCACAGGGTTTCTTGGGAAAGGATGACACTGAAGAAACAGTACTGACAGACACAAGGGATTACAGACACCAGGAATGGGAAGCCATGTGACAGAGCCTCTGGGTAAATTATGGTTCTTTCTGTGCAGATATAAAATGGGCTCTATTGAAAGTCATAGGACAGCTTCTCGGGGGTCAAGAACACTTTCACTATCTCCTCCCTGGCCTCCTTGCACCTGGCCTGGTGTTCCGCAAGGAGGGGCTGCAGGTCCTGCACGAGCTCCCAGGTGAGCATGGCTCCACTGCTGTAATCCTTCCTGATCTGCTCCAGCTTGTTGTCATCCTTGAGGAAGAAGGTCATGTACATAAAGGACATGTCCACGTGGCAGTTTCCCTAAAACTGCCTGTGCTCCTCAATGGTGTCTCTCCCGCCAGAAAACACATGCTTGTTGACCTTGGATTGATCTGCTTGGCTGTGTCTGTGGGAAAGATGGGGGAATTGAGGTCTCTGGCATTCCTGTGGGTCTGAGTCCCCTGCAGGGTGGGGAAGAAGGTCAACAGTAGCAGGATGGTTTATGATAGAAGATCCTGGGGGTGAAACCTCTTGTCATCCTGAAGTAAGGATCCTGGTTGAAGGCACAAGGGATGAGGTTCTGGACTTCCATGTTGGCCCACAAAGATCTGTGGGAATGAGTTGCTGAAGGAAGGAGCAGCCTGGATGGCAGGAAAGCTGATCTTCCCCTTGCAGTCACTGTTTGGGAAGCCAAAAATGCCTTTACTTGGTTGAAGGTCAGGTGATTCTCATCTTCACCATGTTCTTGTAGAAGTCTGGGCTCACCCCCACGTAGTCGAGGTCAGAGAAGATGGGGTTGTTGTGTGAAAGCTGTAGGTGATGATGTCCTTGGTGTTTTCCATGGAGTAGCCATAGGCCTGGTCCAGGGTCAGGTCTTCCACAGGTACTTCTAGTCATCTGCCATCTGGATGAGCAAGAGCACATTCAACATGTCCTGCAGCCACTTTGTGAAAATGAACAGGATGTGGTGGCCTACATGCATGGCTTCGGAAGAGGGGCCCCTGCCCACATACAGGCGAAACAGCTTCTTGTTTTCATAGGCAATGAGGACTTGGTTCATGTCTCTGTGTGAGAAGAAGGTGCATCTGTGCAGGAAGCGGTGCGGTCTCTGGCCCCTGGCTCTCTCTATTCTGTTTACCAGCTCTTGGTCAATGTTACTGCTTCCAAACAGAACAATGAGCTTGTCATAGTCACTGCCTTTTGCACTGTTCCTCTGTATGGTTCAGGGGTCCACAAAATGCACTTCAGCTTCCATGGCACCTGGGCCACTAACCCAGGTACAAGGCTCTCTGGAAGGCAGTCGGCCTTGTAGTTCTCCCCCGTGGCCACATTGTAGCTCATTTTTAGCAATAACAGCCTCTTCACTGCAGAATCAATTTCATCCTGGGCTGTGGGGGACACTGAAGAGGTGGCCAGTGGAGTAGCTGAGATCTCTGTGCAGCTGGGCTCTTCTTTTATAGTCTTCCCCCTCTTACTGTTTCCTTTTTTAAGCCCCTTTCTTCTCTTTTCTTCCTGTTTACTCCACCCTGCAGCTATTTGCAGTAAGGATTTCTTAGAAATCAACCAGTTTCTCACAAACACTTGAGCCTCTTGACCAATTCCTCATGAGACAGTCCAGTCAGGAGTTGGCTGTGAGTGTGTGTGTTTGGGGGAGGCTGGGTGCAGAGACCAATGAAACCCATTCTAAATCCAAACTATTAGCTGGTCATTGCATCATTAGCTGGTCATTAGCCACCCCACACTGCATGCTGGCCTCCATTTAAACTCCCCACTCACTTCCCATCTAACATCTTCAGCCTCAGTATGAGAACTGAGGTTACATTTGTCCTGATGGGAAAAAAGGCAGACTGTAAGTGCCCTGCGGCTATTGTGCACTAAGGCAATGTTGTGAAAGTTCAGTTCTGGGGTCACAAGGACCTGAATTTCCAAAGACACCTTTGGCTTTTTCAAAAATGTGTTTTTATTTATTTCAGAGAGGAAAGGAGATGGAGTGAGATGAAAACATCAATGATAAGAATTATTGATCATGTGCCTCTTGCACACCCCCTACTAGGGATTGAGCCCAAAACCTGGGCATGTGCCCTTGACCAGAATCAAACTTGGGATCCTTCAATCTGCAGGCCAATGCTCAGACCACTGAGCCAAACCTGTTAGAGCTGGCTTTTTTCTTTTCTTTTTAATGCTGAAAGTATTATACATGTCCATTTTTTTTTAACCCCTGCTGCCCTCTCCCAGCACTTTACCCCCAAAACCTTCACCAGCCCATTGTCTGTGTCCATGGCTTACGCATATACTCACATGACTTTGTTGGTTGAATTCTTCCCCCCACTACCCTCTTCTGCTTTCCCTCTGACG